TTAAATTAATTGATTTTTAACATGTTGTTTTTTAAATTTTATTTTCTTCTTTATACATTTTTCATCCACATTTTCAGTTTTGTTCAGATTTTGCAGATTTTTCTTTTTCGGGTAGTTTTTACCAGCCGACCATTAAACGTGTTAAAGCCTTTGAGTTTGTCAGTGCTGAACAAGGTCAGAAGAAAAGAACAGGAGAACCTGGGATCACACCTCGGATACGGAACAATTCAAAACTGGGAAACATGTGAAAGCAAGCAGACAATAACACACACATGAGAAACTAACAGTGTGGTTGGATAAATGAAAGAAGGTAAGGCCTTCCAGGCCGGGACACACCGACACTAAACTGAATGAAAACAAAACTGTGACACAAACAAAATGGAAAATAGATTTTTAAAAACACAAACCCTAACCAAAAACAAAGATGTGATGACAAGGGATGGATGGAAGAAGGTGGACTAACAAACTGAGGGACACTGTGATTCCAGGGAGGACTGTCTTCAGGTTTTCCAACACTAAATCCAGAATCATGGAGACAGGAGACAGACAAAGGGCCTATTAGAGGACGCCGGGCCCTCAGGAAGTTGTTGTGGATGTTTATGACATATATACCTGTGTGCACCAGACATATACTCACATATACACTATGTGATCATATATACTCGTATCCTCTCTCTGTACATCTGCACTGGAGTGTTTATATAAATGGAACCACACTGATAAGCTTTTAACCTGCATGTTTAAAATCCCAAGATCCACATCTTTAGATCAAATATTATTCACAAGTATGGGCTGGGCTGCAGCTGGGAGCCTCTCTGCTGCCAGCAGGTGGTGAAGCATCCATCTCTACCCCATAAAGTAAACACACTTTGCCTGAGAGTGCACCTGGGACACTTGTTTCCCATCTGCAGTTGCCAAAACTGTGAAAAACCCTTCTTTAACGGGTATAGTAGCCCACCCCTGACAGCGAACCCGACAAAGCTGTCAGGGAGAGGAATTGTTTTCTCTTTGCTGTATGTTTGATCGTTTTCCAGAGTTCTGGTCTTAAAACTGTCAAAAAAGACCCAAATAAATGATTGATGTTGGGAACAGCTCGGAGAGTGATGGATGTGCCAGAAGGTTATGTAACACCAGGGATGGAGATTTAATCAGAACAAAGTGCAAAACTGACAATTGACTGGGGCTCGCTTCACTTTGCTTTTCTGCTATTATTTATCTGTAAATGTATGTTTCTGCTGTTCATGTGCTTTTGTGTATTGAACTCATTTACAAGAATTCTAATCTTTTCCAGAGGATCTTTTTAAATACACTGAAAAAAGTTGGATCACCACATCGTTGGTGAGATAAGGTTATCAGGATGGCTTCAAAATTTGTGACCACAAAGTCTGTTTCTGATTGTTCGGAGACATTCACACCAGTCGTCTGCTGCAGGTCGTTTTGCTGGGCTCTGGAACCTCCTCCTTGATCCTGAGATTGTGCTGAGAGACGCCGTAAACCTGGGAATGGCACGTGTTGATGTGACATCTTGGAGCAGTCGGACCACCCTCTGTAGGGTCCAGGTACCAGCAGTGACACTGACCCCAGCAAAACTTGTGCATTTGGATCAGGTGCAGTGTTGAGGTTTGACCTGTGGATGGCGCCACACTGACACCGCCCAGAGGAAGAGGAGCAGTGTCGCTGCTGAAAGTGCTCATCATCTTCCTCCCACTGATGGGTAAAGGCTCTGTCTGTCTGTGGGTGTCATGTTCCTGGAGCATGCATGTCCACCCACACATCACTGAACTTTTCCTTAGAATCAAACTAATAACTGTTTGCAGAAAACGCCTCCAATTCCACAGAAACCACAAATACTCATCACAATTTTATGGCTTTTCTGTGGAAATATATAATTTTCAAGTAATTTAAAGCTAAATTATTGAAAACAATATAGTTTACTGAAGAAATGACTATTATGTATATATATTAAACACACACACATAGATAGATAGATAGATAGATAGATAGATAGATAGATAGATAGATAGATAGATAGATAGATAGATAGATAGATAGATAGATAGATAGATAGATAGATAGATCGATCGATCGATCGATCTCCTGCTCATTATGTTCTGTATATTCATGTCCATCTCACATCACTGACATTTTTCTTTAGAAACAACAAGCGAGCTCCGGAGAGAATAGAGTGGCACAAATGTGTGTAAGGTTCACAGTGAGAGGTGTGATCACCTTTGTGTGCACTGTGGTTAATTTGGCCTTGACACACACTTTCCATTCGGTTATTTACCACCAACCCAGACGGCTTACTTTAAAGCACATGCAGTCAACAGGCAGCCGATGAGACAAACCCTCAGGACCAATGTTCAGGGTCTCATAAAACCACAGACAGTATAAAATATATTGTGTTTATATATAATTGAAAATATGAATATATGATACCTGGCAACTTGAACAACCACGGCAGAACAAGGCTAACGGCCAGATTAAAACACTGCATTCCCAGACTACTGCGGCCACTGACGACGTATCAGGTCTCACTCAGTCATGCCAATCGACTGGAGAGGCTGGTGAGCTCCTACGCGAGCACGTGGCTCGGACTTCCCAAATGCCTCAGCAGTGTTGGACTCTATACTGTCATTGCCTATCACTAGTCTGGTGGAGGACATTAAATGTGCAAAAGTGAGGCTTGAGATGTCACTTACGGCCTCCCGAGACCCCGGCCACATCTGTGCTACAGCCCAAATCTGCTCTTCACCATCGTAACGTGGTGGGTCACCTCCAGCAGGGGAGAGGAGGATTTGGTCTTGGAGCAGTAACACCTCACTGGCAGCAGGCATCTGCAACCGAACATTGAAAAATGGTGGTGGAGGAGGTGCGTCGGCAGGAGGAAACAGCCAGACATGCCAGAGCCGTAGCGCTGGCCAAGCAGAGTCGCTGGATGAACTGGGAGAGTGTGGGAAAGAGGAAACTCTCATGGAGTGAAATCTGGGGAATGGGTCTAATAGACTACGTTTCATCCAAGCGACATACGATGTGCTGCCTTCCCCAATAAATCTGCAGCTGTGGTTTGGAAAGGACCCATCCTGCCCCCTGTGTACAGTCTTTATAGTTATCCTGGTCACGTGCAGCTGTTGCTGCCTTCCCTGTATCAGACGGCTGACCGAGAGGGTGATAGCAAGGGCCATGGACGCGGGACTGGAAGGCCCCGCACCCATGATGCCGTTGTTGGAGGTGAGATCGGCCGAGCTGGCAGGGGAGTAGCGGCGTCAGCTGTATTGTGACTTTCTTCGAAGGTGGAGAATATATCATGAAGTAATATTTTAGCAAAGGCCATATTAATCCAGCTGCTAATGAAATGTGCAGGATTATAGGGTATTACCAGAAGTGTTTTGCTTGTAACAGTGCACACGCCTGCCCAGTGACACTCAGAGTAAGATGTAAGAAAACACATTCTCTAGTGCTTATTGGCTGTGGATTTTGTTTTTCCGTGATAAACTGTATCAGAGGTTATTGCAATGCTTAGCCAGACTGAAACTGTGCAGACCTGCAGAGAACGTTGCCTATTTTTACTCTGCTAAAAGAGAATAAGAGGAAACAGATTGGGGGTGAAAGAGCATTGAGACTGTAAGTGAAGTGCAAACATGAGTGCCTTAGAAGGGGTTGAACTTAACTGTCACTGTTGCAGGATAATAAACTTTGCTTATGCAGACAGGGCAGGTTTAGCCCTTCAGCCCTTAAAATAGTGGAGCCTGTGTGCTTCCTCTATGGAGATCGACACAGAAGATGGTCTTGTGTACATCCCCCCATGCATGTGCTTAATAAATCATTGTTGTTGACTGGACCTGCTCTGAGTTTTGGTTGTTCTTTCTCAGCACATCAAGAAAGAATCGGGACACCAGCCACTCAAGCACATGTTGGATGGTTGTAGGACCAGCCGTACTCAGGGCAGATCCACATGGAGACACAACCAGGTCCTCAGGTGTGTAGCCGAGAAAGTTGAGAGCAAAAGAAAATCCATCATTGCTCAACCTTTCACCAACCAAGAGGAGCGTCAGTATCCATCAGCATTTGTCTTTTGTTAAAAAGGGCTGACATCACTCGTGCAGCTAAGGCAGTCAGCTAACCGCGAGACACGCCCAGGATTGATCAACCCGTGGTGGGCCTGCCTCAACAGGGGGCTTCAGAATCATAGAAAGCCCAACACTAGAATTTTCACTCTTCTCCCCTCTGCTCCTCCCTTTTTCTGGGAGGCAGAGCGTACAGCAGGATCCAGCGGGAGGTGTGGGATGCCAGATCAGGCGCCCCCCTTCCGGCTCTCCTCGCTCCTATCTTGTCTCTTTTGTCTTACTTCTTGCTATCACCTTTTCTATCCCTTTGAAGAAGTGAGGCTCTTTAAATATGAAAGAGATAAGTAGAACTTTTGTGGTGAATTGATAAAATAAACTGTGGAAAACTAAACAGCAGAAAGAAGAAGAGAAATAACATTATAACATAAACCAGTGACAGGGCCTCCTTGGGTGAGTGTCTAGTGATAATGGCCAAAACACCCGAGGAATCCAACGTCCACTACTGACGATGTGTCCTAAAATTTTAATATGACAATCCAGACTAGATTCCTAATCTCTAAACCCAACCAAGGAAGGTAAAGAGAAACTAAAAACTGGCAGAACAGCTTGTGATAAAAGACCGAAACAGCCTGTGAAGTTGAGGCACACAACGATGTCCCGCTGGTAAAGTTTCCTCATAGCAGCAATCCCTCAAGACCTTCTGTATATGAAGCACTGCATCGTAACATTTCGTCCTTTTATTGAATCGTGTTTAGATATATTTATATACATAATTGAAAATATGAATTAATAATAATAATAAATGAATGATCCAGACTCTAATTCATCCTGAAAACAGAAATAATGTTCTGCTGGTAAATGATTGGAGGTGTGTGATGCACCACCACCTGTTACATGCAGCGGTGCAGACAAAGGTGTGATATCCGTGCAGAAACTTCTGACCACAAAGTTTCTGTTGTGGGAGGCGTGTTATAAAAAGAGACGTGTGGAGTGGGGGGGTCACTGCAAGCCTGCAGCGTCTGTCCCACCATGATCTGCTGCATCCTTTACGTCTTTCTGCAAATCTCCCTCACAGGTAAGAAGACTGGCAGAGTTTCAATGACAGGATATTTTAGACCTGCGCTGAAATACAGTTTCCCACTTCTTTAAAGGCCAAAATGAAGAATTTTCTGTGGTCGCTGTTTTGATTTGACCTTTGCTCTCCTGTAAGGGGCTGCTGAGAGCGGCATAGTCGGTGGCAGGGAGGCAAAGCCCCACTCCAGACCGTACATGGTGTCAGTCCAGTATCGGGGAGTACATTCATGTGGAGGGATCCTTATTCAGAGGGACTTTGTTCTGACTGCAGCTCACTGCAAGTACGCTTTTTATATGGTGTATATATATAACTGTTTTTAAAAAAGGATGTTATTTTAGCTGCTGCTGTTCTATCAGCAGTCACTGTGATAAAACTGTATCACAGCTGAACTGTGATACTGAGGACACACCATCAAGTTACATATAAATGAGTGGAAGGTGTTTGTGTGGAGTGATGGGCCACCACAGTTTTCCTGGGAGTCATTTTTCTAACGGTGGAGCGCTGCAACACACTGAGAAGACTGCATGGACCTTCATTTGTGTCGATATTATGATTCACACCATCCGTAGTATCAGTGCGACTGCAGACGCTTCTTTGAACTTTGTGTTTCTTGTTCAGAAATGAGACCTGGGGTTCTTGCACCGTGGTGCTCGGAGCACACGACATCACCAAGAAAGAGAGAACTCAGCAACGCATCGAAGTGGACGAGTATTTCGCTCATCCAGGGTTCACTGGGAACTTAAACAATGACATCATGTTACTGAAGGTAAAGTGAAAAAGTTTAAAGTGACCTGATTCCCTGTGCACTGGGTTCATGTGTTGAACTGATGCAGGAGCAACTTTCACTGATTCTCTTTGACAGTTGAAGAAGAACGCCACGCTGAATAAGTACGTGAGGACCATAGGACTGCCTAAGAAGAACAGGGAAACACCCGCCAACATTAAATGTGCTGTGGCCGGCTGGGGACTAACCAGAGCTAATGGATCTCGTTCAAATGTCCTAAAAGAAGCCACAGAGAAGATGCAGTTCAGCACTGAGTGCAAACACATTTGGCAAAAACACTTTAACTCTGGTCACATGATATGCACCAAGTTTACCAGACGGGACGGAGGTGTTTGCCAGGTAACGAAATAACAAAAGCAGCCCAGCAGCTAATAACTCAAATACAGGTTTAGTCTTTTATTCATGTAAAATGTGCAACCTTTACACAGATCGCTCAATCAAGTCTTTCTTTGTAGGGAGACTCCGGTGGGCCACTTATCTGCAACACAAAGCCTCAGGGTATAACAGCCTTCACCTTGGCAGAGGACTGCAATAATCCACAGTACCCGCATGTCTATACTAAAGTCAGCTCCTTCATCCCGTGGATCAAGCAAACAATGGAGGAGCAGGAATGATGCACGAGTCAGAGGAGCAGTAAAGCATATGTTCTAAAAACGTGTGGTCTCATTCATGATGGTGTAATAAAAAGCTCAAAGCGTGCCTCTTCATTCTGTCCTCAGCACCTTCTTCACATGTCATTTCCAGCTTTTATAAACTTTTCTAGATTCACTTCCAGCGCGTGTCTGAGTGGGCGGGGTCTGATCACAGGTCTCAGTCATAGTGCAAACTTTTGAAGTTGAACCGTTTTCTGTCTGTGAAGCCAGTCATCTGCAGAGAAAGTGGGAAACAGGTCACCTTCAACCTTTTACCAAAACTGCTACGACTCTGACTGGACAGAAAAAAGAGAAAACAAACTGACCTGACTGGGATCTCTGGTGAAATATCTTTTCTCTATTACCTGTTGAAAGGTTTAATACGAGTCAGAACACACGTACACGTCAAGAGAAAGGACTCCCATTAATGTGAGACATTTATCCTCCAGGTCTATGATTGAAAATAAACGTGAAGCCCAAATGATGTTTGTCCCTGTTTGACAGCTCTCGATAAATCCACACGTGTAACCGCAGCACAAAGACGGAGGTGCACACACGCGTGTGATGCTGCGTCCACACTAATGCATTTTTGTTTGAAAACGCAACCTCGTCTCTCCGTTTTGGCCTCCCGTCCACACTGAGACGCACACATTTGAAAACAGAGACTTTCTAAAATGATGACGCATGTTAGTCATGTGATGCAGTCATGTGACTAATTAAACAAAGATAGCAACAAAGAATTCTTTAATTCTCACTCACTGTTGCCACTTTGTACTTTTGTGTTACTCGCAGCAACAACTCCACCTCATTGTGAGTCCATTTAAAACACTCGCTGCTTTTCCTCCACATTTTGCCGCGACGTTTCGAAGAGCCGGAACGGCGTTTTCATCTGAAAACATTCCCCCCTAACCCTAATCAATCTGGGCTAGTGTGGACGCAGCCTGAGTCACGGCCTGCCTGACAGACCGCAGTGACGCAGCTCACAGCTCTCACCTTGTCAAAGAACCTGCTGAGTTTCACAGCGTTTGAGGTGCCTGCAGCCAGGTATCTGGGGTTGGTGCAGTCCTGGGAAAACAACACAACACCAAAAGCGTTCAGCTCCCGCAGTGAAACTGACCACAGCAGCTTCCACATGTTTTATTTTAGGCTGGAGGACCAGACACAGGACAGAGAGGAGCTTACTGATGCTGTGATGTTTATGATACATGTGTTGTTTTTATTGTTGCGAACTAGGATTTGTTTTTGACTGAAAAACGTAGGTGGTGTGTGAGTGTGTGAATCGCCGCTTTATTTTCATCATTAGTCTAGTTTCCTTTTTTATGAGTGCTAAACATGAGTTGTGCTTTATGTGAGAGATAAACAATGAATGAAACAGATTCATTGGTTTAAAGGAGCTGAAGCTGAGAGCTCGTAGAGCAGAGTGAGGCGACTTACAAGATTGATTTCTTCTGCATTGAAGTCTTCGGACAAGAAAGCCGTCCGAGTGAGGACTTCACTGCGCTTGTTTTCTGGAATTTGGTCAAACTTGGTCCCGATCAACAGCAAAGGCACCGGATTCTCTGCAAACTGCTCTCTGTCATAGTCGCTGCAGTCAAATATCGAAGCTTCCACATTAGCCATGTTTTCTGTTTATTATTCTGAATGAAGACGGGCGATGTCGAACACACAGATCTGCTCACCCGTTTGAAATGATGACTCCAGTTGGAGAGGAATCCTTATTCAAAGCTTCCAGTGACCAACGGTACAGATTCTGAGAGGACTTCTTATTGGTCAGATCGTGGACCAATATAATTCCTAAAAGAACCCAAACATGAAGAGCATGTCTCAATAACACGTCACTGATGAAATCAATGCTTTCAGATCTGTCTGTACGTGTTTACCGTTAACCGAGTTGTAGAAGACTGCTCTCGTGCTTTTGACGCTGCTGGCGTTGCCAACGGATCCTCCAACATCCCAGAGTTCAATGTAGAAGGTTTTCTCCTCTGGGGTTCCCTCCTTATAGTCTTGAACCTGGAGTAGAATAATTATTTCGACATCAATAGCTCATCGGGCGCCATCTCACTCTTACCTCTCTGCACATGCCTAAACCATCCCAGCCTCGTCCCTCTGATGGACTCATTTCTAAACCTGTCCATCCCGGTCACTCCCACCGAACACCTGAACACCTTCAGCTCTACCTCCTATCTTTTTGTCAGTCACCAAACTATACATCATAGCAGGCCTCATTACCTGCCCTCTCACTCTTGCTGCTATCCTTCTGTCACAGATCACCCCTGACACCCTGGTATTTAAACCTGTGCACCTGTTCCTTTCAGGTTCACCGTTACACCTGTCTCCCTCTCGTTAGTGTGTTCTGTCGTGTTTTATACGAGTTTAAAATAAAAGGCCAGCAGGGCTTTGTAAAGTAGAAGATGCTGGACCTGCTTACCCGCACATCTACAGAGCAGCCAACAGTCCACGATGGATTTCCCAAAACTTGATTCTGACATAGCAGATGGACCAAGGAAGACTTGCCAACCCCTGCAAAGAGCACAAAATGATACTGGATAAAAGGAGCTGATGCAAAGCACAGCAGGTTAAACATTTTTGTGTAGCTGATCGATATTAATGGATTTAAATTATGAATAGACTCTACAGCTGCTGCTGACTGGAAGACTGACCTCCACCGAAACATCGAGTCAGTTTACGACAGACTCGGCTTCCAGCAGAGCACATCTCCGGAACAACATCAGTGAGTATCCATAATCATCTGTAGGGTGTGGCTCTCTGATTCGGCAAAACGTGTTTCTGTGGAATTTAAACTCTTGATGTGGAATCGTTTCACACCCAAACACTCTACTTACATCCACCTGCCGCAAAGTGACCGATGTAAAAATGACGGGTATTAAAATTCAGCGTCGCTCGCCGATGTACCTTTATTGTGAAAATTACCCGTGAGCTTAGACATGACAGGTGTGTTACGTGATGTTTATCCGTAGCTTTAACTGCCACAGCAGCAAACTGACCACAGCGTCGGTCTCCTACTTAAAGATTAAGAGTTTTATAAGTGAGCGAGTTCCGTTCAGAATAAGCAAGTGTCCTTATAAATAACAGCAGACAGTAGTAAAGGTTTTGCTTGTGAAAATAGTTCATAACTCACCGGAATCTCCCAAAACCAACACTTTTACCCTGTCAAGAGAGGCCATTTTTTGATAGACGCGATCAGGAAGTAAACAGTGTTCTTAAAACCACGCCCCATGAAAACAAAGCCATGCTATTCGCCAACATGCCCGTCACTCAAGCTTCTTCGCTTCTATGGGTGCAGTTTAGTGCAGCCGGGCCAACATTTCAGTTGGCCCGGGTTTATTTTTCATTTCCGGGGTCGTCGTCTCAAAATAAGAAGTGAAGCATGTTGGCTAACCCAGCAGCTAAAGGACCGTGACGTGCGTTTGTGTTCAGTGAGTTTTAGCGGTGTTTTTGTGAGTTAACGTCAGTGTGTGTGACTCTGAGATGACTGTTGGCACATAAACAATAACCGGTAAGGGTCGCGTTAACGCCTGCCGGGTTTCTGCAGGCCAACTCAGTGTTAGCGCTTAATTTAAATAAAAGTAACTTTATCGAGCTTTTATTAAAGATAAAGTGTGAAATAATAAGATGACCGGTAAACTATTAACACGCCGTCTTTCTATTGTGGTGTATTACATTAAAATGTACAATAACACCGGCAAACCGGATGCATTATGTTTTAGTCTTTGTTTGGATCTAAGCTAAGCTACGCTAGCTGTGATTGATGATTTGACATCGATAACGCGGCCGGGATTTTTCTCCTACTGGGTTAATGTGCTCTAGTATACCTTACACTTCCCTCTTAAATTTAAAGTTTTATACTTGGATAACTCTTCTGGCCCTGCTCCTCATCCCTGCCTTCCTGATGTTCTCCCCGCTGTCGCACTCTGCCCTGCAGCTCTTTCTCTCCAGACCCAAAGATGATTGAACCAGCGGTACTGACCGAGGTCCCCGCAGCTCTGAAGCGGCTGGCCAAGCAGGTCGTGAGGGGTTTTTATGGCCTGGAGCATGCTTTGGCGCTGGATGTGCTGATCCGTAACCCATGTGTGCGTGAGGAGGACATGCTGGAGCTGCTCAAGTATGACCGCAAGCAGCTGCGCTCAGTACTCAATACCCTAAAAGCAGACAAGTTTGTGAAGTGCCGCATGAGGGTGGAGACGGCGCCCGATGGCAAGACAACGAGACACAACTACTACTTCATTAATTACAGGTTTAAATCTCTGCTGTGTGTGTGTGTGTGTGTGTGTGTGTTGGACACTTTAGACTCAGTAGTCTTATTTCTGTCTTACATCTTTTTAGGGTACTGGTCAATGTGGTCAAGTATAAACTGGATCACATGCGACGACGCATTGAGACAGATGAGCGAGACTCCACCAACCGCGCTTCCTTCCGGTGTCCCTGCTGCTTCTCCACCTTCACCGACCTCGAGGCCAACCAACTCTTCGACCCTATGACAGGTAAAGGTGCAGACCAGTGCTGCTATACTGTAATATTCAACACGCTTGGATTTTTGAAAGCATTCTGGCAGTTTGACGGGACTTTAGTCCAGCTTTTATGGGATGAATAATTAATTAGAAGCTTCTTTACCGCGGGTGGGGAGAGTTCATATATATTTAAATAGCATGCTGCGTGCACAGAGAAACTTGTCGTTTTCTGAGTATTTGGTGCAGGTGGACGGCTCAAAACGGTGAGCGTGGTG